AGTAAGCTGTCAAATACATGGAAAGGATAATAACATTTGTTTTAAGATATATCACAATGCTAGTCTGACCCAATACACACAAAAGTCATCAATACTTTGAGAAAGGCTACAACGCATTTAAATATGACGACCATGTTTAATTAAATAAATAGACCATACGTTATCAGTATTATAACCCATTGGAATTAAACAAAGCAAGTCTAAATAAGATAAAACTGCATCGATTAGGTTTAATCTGAGATTCAATCCGTTTCTTTAACGAGCATATTTAAGACATGTGTCACACATGTCTTATAAGCTTCACAAAATTCAGCGTTAGCATTATGTTTCTGCTTGTATTTTGTACTTGCTGTCAAAAGCGTCAAAATATTGAAATATTAACATATTAGAAACTAGAGAAAAGCTATGAATCGGTATAGAGCAAAACTTAACCAGTGTTACTGGAGGCATAAAAAATGTTTCCATACTGTTTGGATTTAAAGTTAAGATAAGGTGAGTATTTCGTGATACTAAATAAATATATCAATGTGACGTGATCATCTATTAGGACTAAAATTAAAAACGAAAAAAAACAAAACAGATTTGAAAATGTCCTGATTTCAAACACAAATCTGTAACTGTGATTGCTATTATCAAGAGCTCGCAAACAAAACTTTCTAAAATCAATTAAATAAAACTAAAATTGATCATTTTCATTTTGCTAATTAGATTAATAATTTGTTACCTTTGAAACCATTTTGATGTGTATCTGGATCTGTCTGGAAGAGAAACTGTTATAAAATCCAAAGTCGTGCTTGTTTATTCTTGGGCGGCCGTTCACACTTCACTTGGAACCAGAGATACGGGGTGACTTTATATATGGCCTCATCAAGCCCTTTGACTAGAAACCATAACCCTGAACGATTCTGCTTCATAGGGCAAGAATGTATAAGCGAGCGGGGAAATGTTCCGGCAAAATTTACGATTTCCGAAATACAATTTCGATCCGGAGCGTTCACTTAATGTCAATACTAATTTCGCTTTGGCGACGGAAACTCAGGTTAATGGGGGAGAGGGTGGGAAAGCGTGACGTCACAATCCCGCTTTACATTATATACACATGAGAGTTCAAGTAAATTGTCACTCCTTTTCAAGCAAGAACCTTATTTTGGCGTCAATTCCTATAAACATGTCATTACTAACAAGGTTATTTTATGTTTTTACACCATTTCTTTTTAGAAAATAGTCAATACATGTCAAAGAAATCGGTAGACAATGTACTGTATGGCGTTTTTACCACAACATAGATATTTACTGTATAAAGTTTACAATTGTATATTAAGTATACATATATACACAATATATATATGAGACACGCACTCCACCGACATGGAAAACTATTTATATAGATAAAATGTCAAAGATAGACAATATAGGATATAAAAATTCAAGCTGTTTGTCTATATGGATCATAGAAACGTGACAATCAAATATCCTTTTCATAGCGTCTTTTTAGCTGCTTTAATTTACCTTGTCTCAACCGAAACAGACATAACCTGGTCATAAAGAGATTTCATGCTTTCATATCTAATGAATAACAACGCAATTGTATCTGCAAATGAATTCTTTTATTGTCACACAACAATTCATCTCAAACGAAGTATTGTAAAAGCAGATATTCATAGGCAACGAAAGGATTGTTGATCATGTCTTAATGTGCAACGTCAGCTGCGTGTTGGTAATCAAATATTAATTGCGTATAAATTGTATCTGGCATTCCTTTTATTGTTGAACCGCTATGAAGCGGTCATGACTTTAATGAACATCCAGACTTTTAATCGTAAGATCTCTAAAGGTAAAAGGCCGAAAACAAAGTAAATATTATACATGGCGAATAGGGAAAGTATGACAAGATAGCAGTCCCCACGTTTTTCTCTTTTTATCTCTCTTTCGTCTAAATAAGATATTTGTTTTGCTTCGGGAAAAGAGGAAAGGCAGGGAATAACTATATCTGGTCGTTATAGACAGAATATAATCATATATGATCGTTATAGGCAGGAGATAATCAGACGTTGTCGTTATATGCAGAACATATGTGACCGTTATAGGCAGGGACTAATGATATGTTGTAGGCAGAATATAATCATGAGGCCGTTACAGGTAGGAGATGTTCATATATGGTTGGTATAGACAGAAATTATCATATATGGAGATAAGCTTATGAGGTAATTATAGACAGGAGATATTCATGTTGTTATTATAGGCAGAATATAGTAATATGTCGTTATCATAGGAGATAATCATATGTGGTCGTTATAGACAGGATATAATAATATGTGGTCGTTATAGACAGGATATAATTATATGTGGTCGTTATAGATAGGAGATAATCATATTTGGTCGTTATAGGCAGAATTTAGTAATAGGTCGTTATTGTAGGCAGGAGATGTTCATATTTGCTTGGTATAGACAGAAATTATCATATATGGAGATAATCTCATGAGGTAATTATAGACAGGAACTAGCCATGTCAATACCATAGACAGGAGATAATCATATGTCGTTATTACAGGCAGGAGATAATTATATGTGGTCGTTATAGATAGGAGATAATCATATTTGGTCGTTATAGGCAGAATTTAGTAATAGGTCGTTATTGTAGGCAGGAGATGTTCATATTTGCTTGGTATAGACAGAAATTATCATATATGGAGATAATCTCATGAGGTAATTATAGACAGGAACTAGCCATGTCAATACCATAGACAGGAGATAATCATATGTCGTTATTACAGGCAGGAGATAATTATATGTGGTCGTTATAGGCAGGAGATAATCATATGTGGTCGTTATAGGCAGGAGATAATCATATGTGGTCGTTATAGGCAGGAGATAATCATATGTGGTCGTTATAGGCAGGATATAATCATATGTGGTCGTTATAGGCAGGATATAATCGTATGTGGTCGTTATAGGCAGGATATAATCATATGTGGTCGTTATAGGCAGGAGATAATCATATGCGTTCGTCATAGTACAATTAAATGGATAAAGGAGACGAATTTACATAACTACCTTGCACTTTTTCCTGAATCCTATAATTTTTATGTAATGCATGTATCACTGCAATATACGATAATAAACAGAAAGTCGTTATGGACAGGTTATAGCTGTTTACAAAATGCACCTACAACGTATAAGCAATTGGTGCTAACAGACAGGTTATAGTTAGATAAAAGGTTGGTTGTTATGTACAGGTTCTAGTTATATCGTTTAATTACGTGGTCGTTATGCAGAGGTAGTACTTATAGACAGGTAGTCAGATGGTGGTCGTTATAGACATATGTTAAAACATCTGTCAATATTAGTCACAAATTGAAGCAGTTTTATTAAAATGACGTGTTGTTTCTTTTACACGTGGTATGGGAATGTATAGTAAAGAGGGAGATCAACTGCCAAGAAGGAAATTGCGATATCAATTACAGATTTATTTTGGCTGTTTTGCCTCTGCAAGAGAAGAAATTAAAGACAAGAGGTATATTCATTTTCTTGTCAGCGAAGTTAAAAGATATGTTGTGCATTCTAAACGTTGTAGTGAGTTTGCGTTTGAATCTTCGTTTAAAAAACATTAGTTTCTTTCTATGATATATACAAAAAACAAAAACAAAAAACAAATAAAGATCTTTTTTTAAAAATCTTCGCACGATATTTGCTTGTCATCTGTTATCCAGTTTTGTTTTATTTAATACACACGGGTACTTTTATTCCCTCAGCTGAAAACATCTGTATGAAGCGGTCTGCTGTAAAATTAAGGTTTTTTTTTTATCTCATATTGTCGCGGTTTGTTTTCATTTATCCCCAAATATGAGAAAAACGGAGCCATTAAAAAATAAACGAACTTCCAATGTTTCAGATTAGAATGTCCAAGGTTTTTTTATATCGAAGTGATATCTCTTTATAATAGATGTCAAAGAAGGAAATATTAATGTCTTTTTATTGTTATATAATTCTAAAATATACATGCTGAGCAATGTTTAGTTTTTCCTGTAGCAGAGCCAGGGTAATCGTTTGAGGCAACTTCAGGTGACATAAAATAGGCCGTGAAGATAACAAGTCTGATTAACGCCCTTGGGAACATTCGAATAATTATCACATTCTATTTTAAATCACGTAGTTTGTCATGTCTAGACTCGGAGATAAATAATTATAGTCCTGGTTTTAGGAAAAATATAAAATATTGCAAACTATTGGCACATTGTGTAAATATCAACACAGCTATAACTTAACATAGAATTACATGTATGTTAGTTTCATTTCATTAGTCACCAAGATACATGACAATACACAACAATGGATACATAACAGCTCTAACTAATTAATTATAACACGTGTCGGTATATATAGATCAGTATGTCAGGTCAGTTGCATGGATGATTTAGGTACATGTATGTAACCCTGGTAAAATGCTAGCCGCAATATACCACTCGGCTATAGAGAACTTCTCTTTAGCTCGATTGGTTGAGCGTCAGACTAGTACGCCAGGGGTCCCGGGATCGATTGCTAGCGGAGGCATTGAAATAAATAATGACCTTCGTTACATTGGCGCCCATGTTGGGACCCGTGAATAATACTTAGCCATGCCCCACCGGCATCGCTGTTACCCCTGGAAACTCGAGGACGAGGGGGAGTATGTAACCCTGTAAATGTACATTTGTATGTTCTGAACCGTGCTATCATTTGAATGAATTAAAACATGACATGCATATTATATCAAACCTCGGGAACTAAACGTCCTTCAGCATTGTCTACCACATGCAATCTCGAAAATTGCACAAAAGACATGCCGGTGAATATAATTTTTTAATACAAATTTAGAATTAGATAAAATAGAGTTAGATAAGGTTAGATAGGAAATGAATCAAAATGCAGCAGTGTCGTCTTTATTTGTCGATAATTACGTTGTTTGTTTGCAGGGTATATTTAAGGTCATTTTGATGCAGAATTTGCTTGCTGATGACTACCTCAGTGAACAACATACGGGACTCCCGACGCATGTCATTTAAGCAATAAGGGTAAAGTGCCTTACTCATGGACACAGCCGCCTCTGCATAGACCGGTCCTTTTTCAGCTTTCTGAGAAACACAAGCCGACATGGGGAATGAGTGTTGAAAAACGTGTTACGTAGACCAATGTTTTAACGGCCCAAAGTCTATAATGTATACAAACACATATTTCACTCTCGACAACAATTTCTTTTACGGTGCATTGTTATTACTGATAAATCGTATTGGTATCAATAATACCAACACATGTACATTAAATTATCGTAACTAATGTCAACGAACATCATTTTTAAGCATTGAATGTCCATGTTAAAAAATTACCGTTACTACACCCTCGAGAGTTGCATAATGCAGTTTAATTAGTTATTTGACTTTGTTGTATCAAATCATATATGCTAACTAGTGTCCATATAATCACATTATGGTAACTTATGTCTATATAATCACATTATGGTAACTAATGTCCATATACATCACATTATGGTAACTAGTGTCCATATACACCACATTATGGTAACTAGTGCCCATATACATCACATTATGGTAACTAGTGTCCATATAATCACATTATGGTAACTAGTGTCCATATAATCACATTATGGTAACTAGTGTCCATATACATCACATTATGGTAACTAGTGTCGATATACATCAAATTATGGTAACTAGTGTCCATATAATCACGTTATGGTAACTTATGTCTATATAATCACATTATGGTAACTAGTGTCCATATACACCACATTATGGTAACTAGTGTCCATATAATCACATTATGGTAACTAGTGTCCATATAATCACATTATGGTAACTAGTGTCCATATACACCACATTATGGTAACTAGTGTCCATATAATCACATTACTGTAACAAGTGTCCTTATAATCACATTATGGTAACTAGTGTCCATATAATCACATTATGGTAACTAGTGTCCATATACATCACATTATGGTAACTAGTGCCCATATACATCACATTATGGTAACTAGTGTCCATATAACCACATTATGGTAACTAGTGTCCATATAATCACATTATGGTAACTAGTGTCCTTATAATCACATTATGGTAACTAGTATCCATATGCACCACATTATGGTAACTAGTGTCCATATAATCACATTATGGTAACTAGTGTCCATATTATCACATTATGGTAACTTATGTCCATATAATCACATTAAGGTAACTAGTGTCCATATACACCACATTATGGTAACTAGTGTCCATATACATCACATTATGGTAACTAGTGTCCATATACACCACATTATGGTAACTTGTGCCCATATACATCACATTATGGTAACTTATGTCCATATACATCATCTTATGGTAACTAGTGTCCATATACACCACATTATGGTAACTTGTGCCCATATACATCACATTATGGTAACTAGTGTCCATATTATCACATTATGGTAACTTGTGCCCATATACATCACATTATGGTAACTAGTGTCCATATACATCACATTATGGTAACTATGTCCATATACATCATCATTATGGTAACTAGTGTCCATATAATCACATTATGGTAACTTAGTGTCTATATACTCACATTATGGTAACTAGTGTCCATATAATCACATTATGGTAACTAGTGTCCATATAATCACATCACATTATGGTAACTTGTCCATATACATCACATTATGGTAACTATGTCCATATACATCACATTATGGTAACTAGTGTCCATATACACCACATTATGGTAACTAGTGTCCATATACATCACATTATGGTAACTAGTATCCATATACACCACATTATGGTAACTAGTGTCCATATACATCACATTATGTTAACTATGTCCATATACATCACATTATGGTAACTAGTGTCCATATACATCACATTATGGTAACTTATGTCCATATACATCACATTATGGTAACTAGTGTCCATTATAACTTGTGCCCATATACATTTATGGTAACTTATGTCCATATACATCACTTATGGTAACTAGTGTCCATATACACCACATTATGGTAACTTGTGCCCATATACATCATATTATGGTAACTAGTGTCCATATTATCACATTATGGTAACTTGTGCCCATATACATCACATTATGGTAACTTATGTCAATATACATCATCTTATGGTAACTAGTGTCCATATACACCACATTATGGTAACTTGTGCCCATATACATCATATTATGGTTACTAGTGTCCATATTATCACATTATGGTAACGTTATGGTAACTAGTGTCCATATAATCACATTATGGTAACTTATGTCCATATACATCATCTTATGGTAACTAGTGTCCATATACACCACATTATGGTAACTTGTGCCCATATACATCACATTATGGTAACTAGTATCCATATACACCACATTATGGTAACTAGTGTCCATATAATCACATTATGGTAACTAGTGTCCATATAATCACATTATGGTAACTAGTGTCCATATAATCACATTATGGTAACTAGCCCATATACATCACATTATGTCAATATACATCATATTATGGTAACTTGTGTCCATATACACCACATTATGGTAACTTGTGTCCATATAATCACATTATGGTAACTTATGTCTATATAATCACATTATGGTAACTAGTGCCAATATACATCACATTATGGTAACTAGTGTCCATATAATCACATTATGGTAACTATATAATCACATTATGGTAACTTATATTCATAAACATCAAATTATGGTAACTAGTGACCATATAACTTATGTCAATATACATCATCTTATGGTAACTAGTGTCCATATAATCACATTATGGTAACTAGTGTCTATATAATCACATTATGGTAACTTATATTCATACACATCACATTATGGTAACTAGTGCCCATATACATCACATTATGGTAACTAGTGTCCATATAATCACATTATGGTAACTAGTGTCCATATACATCACATTATGGTAACTAGTGTCCATATAATCACATTATGGTAACTAGTGTCCATATAATCACATTATGGTAACTAGTGTCCATATAATCACATTATGGTAACTAGTGTCCATATACATCACATTATGGTAACTAGTGCCCATATACATCACATTATGGTAACTAGTGTCCATATAATCACATTATGGTAACTAGTGTCCATATACATCACATTATGGTAACTAGTGTCCATATAATCACATTATGGTAACTAGTGCCCATATACATCACATTATGGTAACTAGTGTCCATATACATCACATTATGGTAACTTATGTCCATATACATCACATTATGGTAACTAGTGTCCATATACACCACATTATGGTAACTTGTGCCCATATACATCACATTATGGTAACTATGTCCATATAATCACATTATGGTAACTAGTGTCATATACATTATGGTAACACATTATGGTAACTAGTGTCCATATACATCACATTATGGTAACTAGTGTCCATATAATCACATTATGGTAACTAGTGTCCATATACATCACATTATGGTAACTTAGTGTTCATATACATCACATTATGGTAACTAGTGCCCATATACATCACATTATGGTAACTAGTGTCCATATACATCACATTATGGTAACTAGTGTCCATATACATCACATTATGGTAACTTATGTCCATATACATCATCTTATGGTAACTAGTATCCATATACACCACGTTATGGTAACTTGTGCCCATATACATCACATTATGGTAACTTATGTCCATATACATCATCTTATGGTTACTAGTGTCCATATAATGACATTATGGTAACTTGTGCCAATATACATCACATTATGGTAACTAGTGTCCATATACATCACATTATGGTAACTTATGTCCATATACATCATCTTATGGTAACTAGTGTCCATATACATCACATTATGGTAACTTATGTCCATATACATCATATTATGGTAACTTGTGTCCATATACACCACATTATGGTAACTTGTGTCCATATAATCACATTATGGTAACTTGTGTCCATATACATCACATTATGGTAACTAATGTCCATATACATCATCTTATGGTAACTAGTGTCCATATACACCACATTATGGTAACTTATGTCAATATACATCATCTTATGGTTACTAGTGTCCATATAATGACATTATGGTAACTTGTGCCAATATACATCACATTATGGTAACTAGTGTCCATATACACCACATTATGGTAACTAGTGTCCATATACACCACAATATGGTAACTAGTGTCCATATACATCATGTTATGGTAACTAGTGTCCATATTATCACATTATGGTAACTAGTGTCCATATACATCACATTATGGTAACTAGTGCCCATATAATCACATTATGGTAACTAATGTCCATATATATCATATGATGTTAACTAGTGTCCATATGTATACTTTTACACAGACTTGTTACCATGTTGCTATATGTAATATTTTGAATTAATGTTTATATAATAGATTTATATTGATCTACATTTTGATCCTATTTCTGTCATATAGCAGTACACGTTGTGAAATATTTTAGCAATGAAAGTATGCAATATAATGTACATGTTTCACCATTGTTTTTTTTTTTTATAAATATCACACATGTAATATAGGCATATTTAAGTAACGATGGTTATTTTGATAAGACTTCAGTTAGTGCTGTAATGGTTAGGATGTTATTATAGACACCACGGAAGAACCACAATAAACAGTATACATTAGACTATCCAAGGTTCTTCAGCCATGTAAAACATGTATGCACCTTCCCCGGATCTTATTTAACAAAAGCAACACCACCCTTTTATAGAACAGAGTTTTATTTAAAACCGTAACTTCTTCGTCGGAAACTCAAATATAAAGAGAACTGTTTGTCCATGAACAGTTTCATTTGTGAAGTAGTGCACATTATTCTACGGAACCACGCGCGAGAGATCGTCTAAAATGGCGCCATTTCCGGTTTTCCAGGCTGTAATTGAAATTTAACAGTTATGTATCGTCAATGGCCTACAATTAATCCAGCGCTAGCAAATAGATGTCAATATATATCCAGTGTTGCAATAAATTCGACATAACTACTGCTTGATACGCCGGGCACTTTCTGCAAAGCTGGTGACGTCATGTCTTTCCGTCAGTGTGCGT